AACTCAGATACATAGAAAAGTAGAGTAAAGAAATAGAGGCAGTGAAGTGAAACTTAAAGTGACTATTAGTTAATACTGTGCTATTTAAACTATACTTATACAATTAAACCATTTTTACTTTAAAGGTGCACTCTTCAACATTTATATGCCCAAACATGGAAATTTTCAACCAAAGAATGTATCCGAGGAATTAGATTGGGTATTTTACTTACATAAATTGCATTTCTGTCTCATTAGAAGAAATAACAAAACCTTAGGCATTACAGAAATAGAAGATAATTACGATGAAAACGTATGGATAACTTGTAGAGATGATAATGCGGTAACACAAGTTTCACCTTTAAAACTAAATGTTTTTCCAACCATTCACGATGATTGTTTATACGCATGGGATTGCGAAACCTATAGCGAAAAACAAACGAATAAAGCCATTCCTTATTCTTGCATGTTAATTAATTTAGAAAAACTAAGAAAAATGTTAGACAGAATAAAACATAACTTTCCACATTTAAATCCAACTGATAGTGTACCAGAAGAATTTTATAATAAATTAATGAATATAGTAGAAATATTTGTGGGTAAAGATTGCATCAATCAAATGTTGCAACGTTTAGGAAAAATAGATCAAAAAAGATTAACATTAATTTCTCATAACGGAAGCGGTTTTGATAACTGGATCGTGCTTAAAAATGCGAAAAAACTAACACAATGTCCACTAGTAACAGCTAGAGGCATTCTGTCTCTACCTTTAACTAATTCATTCACCGATGAATATTTACAGAAAAAATGGAAAAGACAAAAACAAATAATGGGCAATTCTAATTATTTGCAAAATATTAATTTCATATGTTCCTATCAACATGAAAAATCTAGTTTGGCGGCATGGGGAAATTCATCTAATCTACCGATGAATTTGAGAAAGATCACCGATATTAATATTGCAAAATACACTAAAGATAACTGGGAATCTTTAAGACGCGAATGGGAACCTTACGCTAAAAGAGATACGTTATGTCTCGGAGCTTGTTTGATAAAATATAACAACGTTATGAAAGAAGTTGTATTCCAGAATATTTCCAATAATCTAACAGCTCCTTCATTATCTTTAAAGGGTTGGTATTATTTATATCATTACCATAAGAAATGGTATGAAACTACTAGAATGGTTACGAAACACACAGAAAAAGAAAAAGTAGAAAAAGTTTACTCACATACACACCCTTTTATAAGATATTTTATCAGACAATCCATTAAAGGAAGAAGAGTTTCGGCAAATCGAAAATTATTTGAAACGAATAAAATGGATGGAATTTATAATGTATTAAGTGAATACAGTGAAACATCAAGTGATAATATAATTGATTTATTTAAAGAATATAGTAAAAGTAAAAAAGATAAACGGAAGTTAATTCAAAACTTAAAAAAATAAAATGTACTAAACTAATGGCCTTTGATGCTAACGGTTTGTACGCTTCCGCCATGTCGGATTTGGATATTGAATATCCGAGAGCGGAAAGTGGTAGACCGTTTCTACAAGAAGAAAATAAAGAATTTGTTAAGCTCTTTAATGAGCAGAAATTCAGACCTAGAACGGCTATTTTAAAAGTCTGGTTTGAATATCCTACCAAGATGTTCTTCCAACCCATACCAGCTAAAGATAAAATCAGTTTTACGAACAAAGAAGGTAATAAGGAAACTGATAAAATCAGTTTTATTAGGTAATTCATTGTATGGTAAATCTATTCAGAAGGATATAACTACATCGAGACATTTATGGAGTGAAGCGACTTTAAAAGCCAACTTCGATTCACACGTCAATAGCTTTTCTAAAATAAATGAAACTCAAAATATCGTTGAGATAAATGAAGAAGAAAAAGAATTTGACTATATACCTCCTAAATCTACACGACTAACAACTAGTCATTTGGGATCATTCGTATTATCTCACAGTAAAAAAATAATGAATAATTTTATTCACGTCATAGATGGATTTTATAAGCCCGAAATATACTATACAGATACTGATAGTTTATACATTTCGTCTAGTAATTGGGATAAATTAAATGAAGCTGGGTTGGTATCCGAAAATGATTATTGTAAAGGAAAGAATGATTACGGTGATGGTGGAATTATATTTGGTTTATGTTTAGCGCCAAAAGTTAAATACAATATCATTCTAACTTCCGACGGTATTCTAGAAGAAGAAAACGTTTAAGGTTACTCTAAAGATAAGATAGCTGTAGAAGATGATATTCGATTAGCTAGTGGACACGATGTGACGAATGAATTTAAGAAACCATGGGAAAAAAGTTTCACCAATGGAGTAGTTATTCCGAAGGATGATGATAAACAAAAGAAAGTTTTTATAAGTTATCTGAATCTCGTTAAGAGAAAAGCACCGGACGATGAAGGAATCATGTATCCTTATGGTGATAAAGATGACTTGAGTTTGGATGAAAACTATGAATTTGATAATTTCGATTACCTTACTATTCAAGAAGAGAATGAAGAGTGTTAATTTTTTTGTTTTAAATGAAGTTGAATAACAATTACCTCGTTACCAAAATCTATAAACCTATATTTACCATCTTTGATTTCCAGATTTATATCTTTAATCATAAAGGAATTAAGTGGTAAATACGTCGTTTGAAATGGTTTCTCTATAATTTTATATCCTATTGGTACAGTGAATGTTGGAAGACTGTAAATAATCTGACGTTTGTATTTATTGAAAAATCCACCGTTTATCAAATTGCAATGTATATTTATCACATCGATATCATTCTCGATAGTAGCTTTGTGTGGTGCTAAAGTGGATTGCGTGTATATTTGTTTATCAAATCCTAGTAACGCATTCAATGAATTTTCTATGTTGAAATCAACTTGACTATTATTTCTTAATATCAATTTCATTTTGTTCAGATTCAAATTACCTTCGAATTCAATATTGTTTTTACCATTGACACATCCTCCATATTCAGATAGGTATTCGTTAATGGCTATGTATTAGTAGCTTCCTGGTAGTAAACGTATGGTTTTTAACGTAACTCCATTATCTGTTGATATTTTTATTTGGTTATTTTTTTCGTTGATATTTCTAATGGAATTGTAAACAGAGAAATACTTTAATCCCAACTCATATTCTTGATTGCGATCGAGTTCGTACTCATAATCTAGAGATAATTTAATGTCTGATTTATTTGGGGTGATGACGAATAGTTGTTCTTTATTTGACATTTTTAATCACGCTTTTATAATCATTTTTATCTATAATACCTTTTTCTAGGAGTCTTTTTAATATACAATTTACTTCATTATATTGTCTGTACGATCGATGTCCTTCCTTCATGCCGCTAATATTACTCGTAATCTATTAAGTAGTTCCTCGTTGTTGTTGGATAAAAACGTTATACCTTGTCCAGATACCATATTTTCGAATTCGTCTATTTCTTTTGTGATTGGTGGATACTCTTCTGCATAATCACCAGGCTCCTCTTCATCATGTTCAATTACTCTTTTATATAGTTTAACTTCTTTCGATCTTCTTGTTTCGGGTCCCGACTTTCTTATTGCATCTAGAAATTTGGAGTATGCTACTAAATCCTTATAATCGGCAATACCAACAACATCCTTCCCATTCATTAAATCTATTAATCCTTTCGTTAATGTGTATATAAAATCTTTTGTATCGATTATAAATTCGGGGGTATTTGGACTAAATCTTATTCTAAAACCATTAAATATTAGCCCCACTTCATCAATGATTGGTTTAATACTCTTTGGTAAATGTGGGTCAGGGTTTGAAAAATAATGTTTTACATCATCTACTGTCCTTATTATAATACCACCATATTCAATCGCTTTGGGGTGATGAGGTTCTATACGAGGTGTGGGTTCTATAGGAGGTTTATGTTCTAAAGCTAATTTCTTTTTAATATCCTCTTGAGATTTTAATATGGGTTGAAATAGAGTTTGTAGATTTTCTGTTAATCCAAGTTGTTGTAATCTGTTATTTTCAACTTGGGTCTTTATTTTATTCTTAGCTTTGATATATTCTCTATTTCTTTTTAAAATATTTTTCCAATCGCTACTCATTTTTAAAAAGATAAAATTAACATATGTCGATCATAACTCTTTCACCCCCAGGTTTTCTAGTATTTACAATTACATATCCATGATCATCTGGATTTCTCCATTGAGCTTTATAAACTTTTTTGAATGTATCTCTGTCCATTCCGTGATTTATCAACTGAATGATTTGAGATAAATCTTTATCGTTTAATTCAAAATAAAAAACAATTTGCATTTTTTCTAATGAGCATAGAATCCATCCCATAAAAAGATTGGGATTGGTATATGCAGTGACAGTTGTGATGTCTTCCTTTCGTGAAGAATTCTTGTTGAACAGCTTGATTTCTTTGCGCTACGCAGTTGTCAAATAATATTAAGTTCTTTCGATTGCTATCAATATTAGACAAGTCTAGGTCATTAACATTTTTCGTAAGAAAAACTTTTATATCCGTTGGATTCTTTGCTTCGATGTAGTTATCTATGATATCTTTTATTTCCACTTCTTGAACATCCTTCTTTGGTAAATATTCTAAAGCTTTGAGGAATTGATAATACGATTGCTCTGGTATTGTTGTGTAGATATATAGTGATTCGAAATCTAAAAGGTTTGGTGTTGTCAACATGTTAAAAGTGAGATGAGTTTTCCCAGAACCGGAACTACCGCGTTCTTCGGCAGCTGTTACTTTAGCTGCTTTATCTTCGTTGGCAGTACGTACTCCAGCAGCTGCACCACCAGCTATTGCACCCACCGCAGTAAGACCAGCAAATATTAAAGGTAGGGAAAATATAAATCCACCTTTTTTTACATTTGTGTCAATTCTTTCTAAGTCTATATCATCTCTGACTTTACAATATTTGTATTTATCAATAAGTTTTTTAGTTATGTTGATTTTTTTACCATTGAAAGTTATTACAGTTGGGGAATCTGTTTCAACAGCTTCTATTATTTTCATTACTAAAATTTCTGGTTTCATTTTTAAAGGTGTATTTTTTACTCAATTCTTATCATTCTTCTATCAGCTATTTTAATTAAATGTTTTGCTTCTTCGAGTAGTAAACAATATCCGGTTACATCTCCTTGTGTTTTTTCAATATGAATATTTATGTTCACTCCTGTTTTGAAAAGATCTTCTTGATGAGCTGATAGATCAAAACAGAAGATTGGATGATTAAGTGCAAAATCTACATATTCAAACTGAGGTGGATTTCCAAATAATTCACACATGTTTTTATAGTTCTATACAATTCATTATAATTCTTTGTGGTTGGATTAATTGTTAAAGGTTGGTTAGGATAATTATCATTGTTTAATCTTACTTGAACTTTATGGATTATAGGATCTTGAGTTTGGTTCATTGCCACTCTGAAGACATTATTGTTATTCGTTTGAGAATCTGGTAAGTTCTCGAAACCAACCATTAAATATCTTGCTGGTTTAATAGTGTTAGTGATTGGCCATGTGGTGGATTCTCCAGTTAAAGTCATACTACCTACCGTATTACGATGAAGAAAAGCTTTTTCAATATCTTTAGTTAATGAGTTGAATATTTTCGTTTCTACTTCAATTGATGGTGTTATTACGGGTATGAAAAGTTGGAGATTCGTTATTTCTAATTTTGCATTTGAAGCATTCTCTCTGAAGAATATCTTATCATCGTTGATCTCTCTTTGTAGATGAATTTTATATGGTAACCCTATGGAAACCTTACTGTGTTCCAACAGACCGAATAAAGGATATAATTTCCAATTTACGTAATTACCCCACCTATTATTCTCAACAACATTTTTATACTGAAGTACTCGTTTTTCGAATCCATGATTAGCTGCTCGTGCTACTCTTTCTATTGTGTTTCGAGCAACAACTCTCACTCTAGCTAAATCAGCATCATTTGCAAGATTTCTTACCTGTTCCTTTAAAATACTTCCATCACCAACATCGGGTATCCAACCTGAGACTGAATCGAAATCTTTAGGATATAAAACTGTTTTCAACATTGTGTCGAATTCCCCAGGGTGTTTAATTGTTTCTATCGGATTTGAACCAGCTTCCAAAACCATCTCGCTAAATAAAGATGGAAAGAAATTGTTTTCTAACGTTGTATTAGTTTGTGGTACATGATTTTCATTGGGAGTTCCATCTTTAATTTTGAAATCGCATCTGAAATAAGCATCGGAAAGAAGCAACCAATTCGATAATGAATTTATTTCGAAGGTAATTCTACCACCATCATTCAATTGGGATTTAGAACCAACAGTCGGTGAGATGATAATATAATCCTCTTTTTTCTTGTTAAACGAATAACGAATCGGATCGTATAATCTAAAGATTGGATCTAATATTTTATTTGCCATTTTTAAGGTTTAAAAATTGAGTAGAAAATTGTCGTCTTGTGTTTTTTTCCAAAAAAAGAGTTATCTCCCTTTCTAGAAGTTTCTAGACTAAAAATAACATTATTTTAAACGAGGCTATTAAAAAACCAGATGTTATGTTATTTTATATAAGGGTATTTTTAATATGCTTTTTTTTTGATGGAATATAGGAATTGATTGAAGGTGTTTTTGGTGTATGAAATGTAGGGTGTATAGATGTAATAATTTATGAAATGAGGGGTGTATAGGTCTTTTTTAGTATAAGAATTTATGAAATGTAGGGTTTTTAAGTCTTTTTTGGGAGGGAATTGATGGAATGTAGGGTGTTTAGGTCTTTTTGGGGGATTTTCAATTTGGTCGCATTTTCCCCATGAAATGAAATGGAATGGGGAATCCCCATGCGACCAAATTGAAAGCCCCTACACAACATTTGCAGAGAAATGTTGAAAGTTCGTACCAAAACCACTGATCATATTTGAGAGGTATCAATTTCACTCCAGGAATCAGAGGGAAGGGGAAACGGTAGCCTCTTATAATGTTGAACTAAAACGCATAGCCATGACCTGTGATTTTCGAACATTCTTAGATGACGCATTACGTAAAGACTGGTCTGTGGCATTTTAAAATCAAGTACACAGAAGTACGCGGTTATTGTCAGAAGCTGATCTAACATTTACCAAAGCCTGTGATGTTAGATTTGCAGTAGAAAAAGCTGAAAGGAATATTAGTGAAATTGGACTGAAGACATCACAAACTCAAGTAAACAAGGTTCAGAAGGGTCATTTCAAGAATCAAGATCGAAGGTCATTTCAGCAGGGAAGAGGGAAGTTCAATCAACAATATAAAAAGAAAACAGATTCAGCGACATCAAGTTGTTTTCGATGTGGTGGTCAACATTATGCGGACTAGTAACTGCAAAGTGTCATTGGTGTCACAAACTTTAGCTCTAGCTAAGAAATACCAGGGGAAAAATTATCAACCAGTGTCAACAAGATATGTTGGAAGTTTCAGGCCAAACCAGGATGAACACTTATCAATATTTAGCATCGAGAAAATGAGCAAGTCGTGCTTAGGGCTGAATGTGTCGGTAGTTTTGGGTGACACTCCTATTGAGATGGAGGTGGACACTGGCGCAGCTGTGTCAATAATAAGCAATGCATTGTATCACCTTTAGTGATAATCCCAGTGATAGAGGAAGTGGTGGTTCCTGTAACATATGGAGACCGAAGTAAATTACCACTGGTTGTAGCTGAAGGAAATGGTCCTGCATTGCTGGGAAGAAATTGTCTGTCATCATTGAACTGAATTGGTCAAAGATTTTCAAGATTCAGATCGAGAACTTGTTTAATAAGGACATTGGTAGGATAAAAGACTTCAATGCGGATATAGTTTTGTCTAAGGAGGTGCCACCAATCTTTAAGAAAGCTCACAAGTCCTGTATGCACTAAAAGAAGCAGTAGAGAAAGTTAGGTAGGCATCTCCTTTAGTCCCGAAATCCGATTCGTCAGAGTGCTGATTTTAAGTAATAGTGAATCAGTTTCTAGCAGAACATCAGTATCCTTTGCCTAAAATGGATGATTTGTTTGATACACTAGCCGATGGTAAAAAGTTTACAAAGTTGGCTTTAGCGTACCAACAGCTGGAACTAAATGAGAAAAGAGTATCTAAAGGTGAATACTTCTTTAGGACTGAATCGTTATCACAGATTACCATTTGGTATATCTAGTGTGCCAAGTATTTTCCAGTCAGTTATGGATCAGATACTGTGTTGAATGAAAAATGTTGTGTGTCGTATCGATGACACTTTAATGACATAACTCATTTAAAAACATTGGATTAGGTATTTCAAGGGTTGGACAATCATAATATACACCTACGTTTGGACAAGTGTAGATTCATGGAGGATAAAGTGAGAAAAATTACAAATAGAAAAGGAGGCATTATCCCTGTTATTTGGTGTAAAAAAGTTCCATAAATATCACTATGGTAGGAAGTTTATTTTGAACAACGACCACAAACCTCTTAACAGCTATTTTAGGTTCCAAAGCAGATATTCCGACATTGGCGGCTGAGCACTTACAACGTTGAGCTTTGATATTGCCAAGTTTCCAGTATGAGATTCAGACAATCAACAGACCACAGTAATGCAGACGCGATGTCACATTTACCTTTAAATTCAGAAACGAAGTCTGAAGAAATGAACATTTCCCATTTCAGGTATCTGAACGATCTTCCTGTTACCGCTAAGGATATATGTTTGGCAAGTGTGGACTCATATTATGAATGGATGGTTAAAAAACACGGATCAAACTTTTGAGCCGTTTTATTATACGCCAACAGGAATATGTGGTCGTATATTGTCGTTACCCCTGTTTGTCTGTCCGTCGGTCTGCCCTTCAACATTTCTTGTGAGCACTATAGAGATTACAGTTTTCATCTGATTTTGATCAAACTTGGTGTGATGCTTTAGATTGATAAGATCTCAGTCAAGTTTGAATTTGACGTATTTCCGATGAACGGTTTTTGAGTTATTGCCCTAGACTTCGGAAAAAACACGTCAAAATTTTTTTGTGAACATGATAGAGACTGAATGAAATTTGGTGCTATAATTTATATTCATGAGATCTTGGTCAAGTTCGAATTTCAGATATTGCCCTTGACTTTGTTAAAACGCGTTGAAATTTGTAAAAAATAGTTTGTGAGCAGGATTGAAGCTACAGTTCTCAACCGATTCTGATGAAACTTGGTATGATCATTGGAATTAATAAGATCTCGGACAAGTTCTAACTTGACACATTTTCGATGAATGGTTTTTGAGTTATTGGCCTTGACTTTGTAAAAACGCTTCAAAATTTGTTTGTGAGCACAATAGAAGCTACAGTTTTCAACCGATTCTGATGAAACTTGGTGTGATCATTGGAATTGATAAGATCTCGGATAAGATTTAACTTGACGTATTTTTTATGAACGGTTTTTGAGTTGTTGCCCTTGACTTAGGAAAAACGCGTCAAAATTTTTTTGTGAACACGCTAGAGACTGAATGAAATTTGGTGCGCTAATTTATATTCACAAGATCTTGGTCAAGTTCGAAATTGATGATTTTTTGATGAACGGTTTTTGAGTTATTGCCCTTGACTTAGGAAAAACGCGTCAAAACCTTTTTTTTGCCCTTGATTAGAGCTGTGTGATTTAATTGTTTGGTGTATTTGGGTTATTGATATTGATTTTTAACAATTTTGTGGAATTACTCAGCATAAATAACTGGCATATATATAATTGAATTCAAACTAATAAAATTTCTTCAATATGACAAAATTCGCACTTTAGTCACTAAAGACTGTTATATCATTTCTGGCTAATTGTCTTACAAGAAACATTATGTTTGTACACATATAGAGAAAAACAGTAGGAAAAAGAAAGAAAAAAAAACAAAAAACAAAGATACCACAATGACACATCAGTTACACTTAAATTATGATATATATAAATAAATATTATATTATATAGGATGATTATAGTTTTCTAATAATAATGTTGTCCAAACATTTTGAAATTGTGTTTTCGATTTTGCATTTATTGTGTTTTCTATAATCAAACAGTATTG